AAATAACGCATATATGTTATGGAAAAATATGGCAAATTCCATCAGAGAGGTGGGCAAAAACACCCTTGGGTTGTCGACGGGGAAGGCCAAGGAACATAAAGAATCGTGGTGGTGGAACGACGAAGTCCAAACTAAGGTGAAGACAAAACAAACTTGCTTCAAGGAGTTTCTTCAATGCAATGACGACGAAGAAAGGTCGAGAGCTAAACAAAGATACCAGGAGGCAAAGCGGGAAGCCAAGAAAACGGTAGCTAAAGCAAAGGATAAGGCATATGAGGAAATGTACAAGAGATTAGACACCAAGGAAGGACAAAATGGCATCTTCAGACTTGCAAAATCTAGGGAGATTAGGAAAAAGGATCTAGGTAACATTAGGTTTATTAAGGACAACAATGGTGTTCTTTTAACGAAAGATCATGATATTAAGAGGGTTTGGGGTAGTTACTTCTTTGGCTTATTTAATGACGGTGCCTCTCCATGTAGAGATAGTATCGTTGATGGGTCAGCCGACCATCATACTACGGCCAATGACTGCCCTACAAGTAGGATTGGGTTTGAGGAAGTCAAAATGGCTCTTAGAAAGATGGGAAGGGAGAAAGTTGTCGGTCCTGATCAAATTCCTATTACTGTGTGGTTAGCCCTAGGAGATGAGGGAGTTAAGTGGTTGACCAATATCTTTAATATTATTTTAGAGACTGCCAAGATGCCAGAGGAGTGGATAGAGTCTACGGTGATACCAATCTATAAAAATAAAGGAGATCCCCAACGTTGTGGTAACTACAGAGGTATTAAACTACTCAGCCATACCATGAAGCTATGGGAAAGGGTGATAGAGGCTAGGTTGAGACAAGTTACTAGGGTTTCGGAAAACCAATTTGGCTTTATGCCAAACAGGTCTACCACGGAGGCGATTCATCTACTTCGACGGCTTATGGAGAAATATAGGGAAAAGTCTAGAGATCTTCACATGGCGTTCATTGACCTTGAGAAGGATTATGATAGCGTTCCTCGCGATACGATCTGGAAGACTTTGGAAACGAGACGGATACCAACTGCTTATATCCGGGCGATTCGTGATATGTACTGTAGATCTACTACTTACGTCAGGACTACAGTTGGTGACACCGAGGCATTCCCGGTGGAAATCGGACTCCACCAGGGGTCGGCTCTTAGCCCTTACATCTTCGCCTTGATTATGGACGACATCTATTGTGCGACACCAGATGGTGTACCTTGGTGTATGCTTTTCGCTGACGACATTGTCCTCGTTGCTGAAACAAAATCTGAGTTGAATAGTAGACTGGCTACCTGGAAGACTGCTTTGGAAGAAAAAGGTTTAAGGATCAATATTGAAAAGACAGAGTATTTATGTTCAAACTTCAATGGGAACCAAAACGATGAGATGTAGAAGTATGCATAGAAGGACACGTTCTTCCCTCAAAGGATTGTTTCAAGTACTTAGGGTCTATGATACATAAAGATGGGGGTGTAGATGATGACATTACACACCGTATAAAGGCGGGATGGCTAAAGTGGAGGGCCGCTAGTGGAGTTTTGTGTGACAAGAAGGTGCCTCTAAAACTTAAGGGAAAATTTTATAGAATGGCAATAAGACCAGCGCTGTTGTATGGATCAGAATGTTGGGCACCCAAGAAGGATCACGTAAGGAGGATAGAGGCCGCTGAAATGAGAATGCTTCGATGGACATGTGGTAGGACTCTGTGGGATATGACGACAAACTATGCTATTAGGATGTCCTTAGGGGTGGTGTCTGTTTCCGAAAAATTGAGGGAGGGAAGACTACGGTGGTTTGGGCACGTTCTTAGGCGACTACCGTCAGATGCGGTCAGGAGGGTAGAGTCGATTACAGTCGACGGTGCCAGAAGGAAAGGACGACCAAGGCGGAAGTGGGATGACTGCTTGAGATCTGATTTGATGGATTTAGGCCTTACCGAAGACATGACCTATGATAGGAAATTATGGAGGCTTAAGACTAGGGTAGTCGAGTAGTGTGGGTCCAATCTATAGGGTGTATCATCTTTGTCTTCTTTTAAAGGCATTTGTAGTAATTTCCATGACTTTTACTTTTTATACTTTTCTGGTATTTATGAATGATTAGAACTGGGCTTGATATCGTTGTCTTCTGTGTATCATTCTCGTCATGTTTCCTCTGTATAAATTTAGCCGGGTCTTATGTTTCTGTCTATATACAGAGATTCTTTCGCATGGATTATTTTGCAGGGATTAATCCTCATTACAGAAGCACATATGGTATTAATGACTGCATATGAATACTGTTTAGCTATGTATTTATGTAATTATTTATACATGCATTGCATTTTATCTATATTTTTAATTTTTTGACTGCCAGAGGTCTTTCACGGAAGTTATTCTCAACCTGGCGTTGGGGGCAGCCTACTACCCTACCTCCCCCTTACCCCATACATATGGGAATTGGGTTTTGTTGTTGTTGTTGTTGTAAAGGAAGCACCAATACTCATTAAAGGAGTACCGATACTCCCTGTCCTGGATAGTTTTATTTTGCAACAAATTAATCCTCAACTGCTCCAAAACATCCATGATGGCTAGAAACGACCACAAACTCATTTCAACTTATAAAAACAAATTGAGGACACTTGATGAAGGTTACCAAAACCTATCCAAGCAATTGAGATCAAGAGAAAAGCTTTTTCACTCGTATTTTTCTTTCTCTTGTAAATAGTAGTGTTTTGAGCTCATTGCAAATCTTTTAACTGTTTTCTTGTGAGCTTAAATCTTTGTAAACACATTCCTTTGGAGAGGTTTTTCTTGTTTACATTTCTTATACCTTGTAAAGGGGATTGGTTCTAGTTTAGTCTTTGAAAAGCTAGGGAGTTGTAAAGGTTATCTCTCTATCTTGTAAAAAGAAAGAACAAATTAGTGAATTTGTTAGAAAATCCCAAGTGAGGAGCTTAGGTAGTGGATGTAGACTTGGTTGAGAAGTTGAACCACTATAAATCCTTGTGCAAATTTTCCTATCTTTATACTTTTTACTCCCTAAACTCTCAAGCCAATTCACCCCTCTTGACAAATTATTCGGTTGTTCAATTGAGCTTCATCGAATATCCCAACAGTAAGGAATGTATTGTTATTTGTTCTTCACTCTAATTGGGCAACCAAAGTGACAAATCTTGTTATTGTTCATGCACCCTCACTATTTATTTATTTATTAACATGGAGACCTCCACTACTCAAATCTATAACAAAAACAAATTAAAGATTAAAATATGCCCTTGATCCTAACAAAGCTTTAATAGCAGGATTTTGGGCTCAACTCAGAGCAAGTACAAGGATTTGAACTACAACTTTCTCAAACAGTAACAATTAAACCTATACAGATATACAATTCATTGTTATATTTATGTTATTTCATATTAATATTTTATTTTTAAAAAATCTTAAATTCGTTTCTTAGAGTACTTGGCTATAGTTGGCCTGTGATTGGTCAGTAATGGACAGTTAAAGAGTGATTATCTTAGTTTTTAACAACTATCCAGTTAAGAAGCATTGTGAGATCTTAAATTAATTGTTATATTTATGTGATTGGCTAGTTGGCTATAGTTTGGGCACTTTGATCCTCTAGAAACAAGTTTATCATGAAAGTAAAGTTACGCCTACCAGACAACTTGCAGCTTTCGTTCAGGCTCATTGCAAGGAGTTCGTTGAGGTCTCCCAGGCACTCCAACCTTCCTCTTCAATGACTGAGGTTCGTTGGTCCCCTCTTTCACCTTCGAAAGTTAAGACTAATTTCTATGCAAGTTTCTCACACATCAGTCAGGAAGCATGGTCAGGTGTGGTTATCAAAGATGAAGCAGGGAACATTTTAGGGGCTGCAAGACAGAGAATATGTGGTGTTACCTCGGCGATGGCTGCTGAAGCGACGGTCTTCGTGCACACAATATTCTTTTCTAGAGATTTGGGTTTCATGCATGTCGAATATGAGGGTGATTCTCATGCCATAATTCAAAAATTTCAGAGTCGAAGTAAAGATTGGTCTGAAGTACGAACCTTGGTTTTTGATAGCCAATAGTTGGCTTCATCCATGCAGGAGGTGTCGTTTCGGTTTACCCACCGGTCTGGGAATTTGGCAGATCACCTTTTCGTGAAAGATTCCACAGCAGGCAACGAAAACCCTTTCGGGTCGAGGAAGCTCTGATCTTAGTTATGGAGCAAGTAGCGAAGGATCGAAGGTGGTTCGATCTACCTTAGAGTAAGGTTTCCACAATGTTTTCAAGCTTTTCAGTTCGATATTGGGGATTTCTTTTTAGTATCTCTGTGTTCGCCACTGGGTTTCATCAAGATAGAGGAAGCTTTGGTCGGGTTGTGTTTTGTTTTTTTTTTAGCTTGTTTTGCCTTTTGAGTTTCCTTTTTCAGACTTTCTATTGTGTTTTGTGTCTTTATGTTAGAAACTCTTGAATTGCCAGCTGTTTTATTTTTAATATACTCACAACCGACATTTAGTTGAAAAATAAATTCATTCTCTTAATTGGTTTAGTAGGACAAATGGTGGATCATTTTTTTTATTTAATCATTGTATCCAGTCTATCCACTGTTTTAAATCAAGTTTATAAAGATCTATTATGAGATGACCTTCAAACTCAAATTATTTTATTTGTAAATGTTAGATTTTGAACTCTTAATCTTACTTAAGAGATTTAATATTAAATTTCATTTGATTAACTAATTGTTGGTGAATACTATATCTATTTAATTATGTGTTATTTTAATTTTAGTTTATGTTTTTTAATTTAATATTTAAATATTTACAATTTATATTAAAATTTAAAAAATTAAAAATTAAAAAAATTTAAATTAATCAAATTAAATTACATATATAATAAAGAACTAAAATAATTTCAGGGAAGATAAAATTTTGATTGATTCCATAGGGCGATTGGATCCGAATTTCAAAGGCAGACATGGTCTGTTCGATGACCAAAACCCGAAAATAGTAAATCCAAATGATGGTCAAAGATACGCATGGAAACATGACAAAAGAGGAAAGAAAGAGAGCTTACGATAATTATTTTCAGGATAAATTATGTATTTAGTATCTAAATTATTGATTTTAGTCTGTTTTAATAATTTAACTTTTAATTCTTTCAAAATCATATTTAAAATTTAATTTTTGTTTCATTTTAATACTCGCTGTTAAAAGTTTTAAATTTTTGTTTTATTTTAGCACCCCGATCAAAATTTAAAACTAAGTTAAAAAAAAATGAAAGTTTAGGTATTAAAACAGACCAAAATTGATTGTTTAGGTACTAAACGCGTTAAGTTTTTAATGATGGGTACTAAAATGAAAACTAAATGATAAATATAATTTTGAAAAAATTGAAAGTTTAATTATTAAAACATGTCAAAACTATAGTTTAGGTACTAAATGCATAGTTTACCCTAATTTTTATGATATTATTAACAAAATGTGTTTATTATTTTATGATATTATTAACAAAATTTTGATTATTATATTTAATTGAGTCAACCCAATAAATAAATAGAAAATAATTTCAATTATTATTAATATTTTATTAAAAATAATTAGTTCAACACTCTTTGTCTGTACAAGTTTTATCTGTTCTTCACCCAAATATCCCTTTGCCCCAAGCTCTCTCGCAACCCAGATGTCGCTCTGCTTTTAAATTCAACCACGACCAACGCCTACTATCCTTCGCCTTGCTTTATCCAAACGGCGGAGCAAAAGTCGACGGTGGAGATAGACCAAATGCCTCCGCGTGGAGTTCACCATCGGCGTGCCCACTCCGATACAACTTTCCGTTTCGACGATCTTCTCCTCTTCGACCCTTCCGATGTCGATCTTTCCTCCCTTGACCTCCCGGCGTCAACCTCCAATCCCACCCCGCCCCCTGTCATCCCCGTTCCTACCGATTCCTCCGATGACTCCTCCTCCAACGGTCAGCCCTCCCGCAGCAACCCTAAGCGCATATCTTACCATGTCCGTAGTCTTTCTTTTGATTCTGATTTCTTCGACGGATTCGGATTGACTGAGCCCGCAAATTCCGGAGGAGCTGGAGATGAGAAATTTGGCGGGAAAGGAGGGGACGGAGAGAAGAGGGTTCACCATAGGCATAGGCATAGTAACTCGATGGATGGTACGGCTTCGTTTAAGATTGAGCCTTTGATGGCCGTTGACGGTGCTAAGAAGGCTATTGCTCCTGATAGACTCGCTGAGCTTGCCCTTATTGATCCCAAGAGAGCTAAAAGGTAGAATTGCGGTTATGGTATTCTACCTTTTCTGCTACTAATTTTTTTAATTTAATTGGATTTTTTATACAATTTATTTTTAGTTAATAAATATGGTTCCGTACACTATTTTTGTTAGGAATCTTCATTTTCTCTTTACACTTGATTCGAATAGCTTAATTAAACCTTTTTTTTATATATTAAAAAAAGGTTAATTTGAGCACCAAACACGAGGAGTTTGATATTTTCTTTCTTGAATTGACTAATTGAGCTTCAAATCTTAAATCTCAGTCATATAAAATTAGGTTTGGTTTGTGTACAATAGGATTCTGGCTAACAGACAATCGGCGGCTCGATCAAAGGAGAGGAAGATTCGATACACCAGTGAGCTGGAGAGGAAAGTTCAGACCCTTCAAACAGAAGCTACCAATTTCTCCGCTCAGGTCACAATGTTAGAGGTAAATACTCCTTACGCCTCTCTGCTTTAGCTTACTCTACACATCTAAAGAATGTGATCTTTTTTTCGTTTTCCCCATAAAATGTGATCCTTTTGATGCTTCCCAGGTTCATGCACTCAAATGTTTCTTTTTTAATGTTAAGATTGTAACTGTTAGTGGAATCGAATGTGCGTGAAACGCATGCTTGCCCATTCAATTATAGGTTTAACCGGAACTCAACATTATAAATTAAATTAAAAAATATTTGAAAAAATTATCTTTAACTAAAACAAAATTAAAAGTCGAACACTTAATAATTTGATTGAAGTCCTCAACTCAACTCATATAAGATGAACAACCAAATAGGAAAAAAAAATAATAAATCTTGAAATCAGAAATGAAAAAAAATAGATTTCCATTTATTTAAAAATAAAATAATAAAAAAGATTGAATGTTAATTATTTTTAATAAATGATATTTAAGTAGTTTTTAAATTTTAAAATGGTATACAAGTTTTTTGAAATAACCAAATTTAATAACTTGTTATATGTATTTTTTAAGAATCAACTTAAGAATTTAGTATAATATATATATATATATATATATATATATATATATATATATATATTATTTAAAAAAAAAAAATGGGGGCGTGGCCCCTTTGGTCCTTTAATAGTTCCGTCATTGGTTGTACCACCGTTACAATCAGAATAAGTTTATTTAATTTATTACTTGAATTTAAGAGAACTTTTTCCAAGGTTTGTTTTCTTCCTTTAAAATGACTTATTCGTTGTATAGATGCATAGAATTCTCTTCATTGGAAGAATGGGTGAATATAATATAAGGTCCTATATTACTTTTTGTCTAATCTAATTAAGGTTGCCATCTATGTTACTTCAACTTTTCCTTCCTTTTTACCTGAAAAAACAATCTTTTTCTCCTTTTTTTTTTTGAAATACCTATGTCTAGAAACACGAGTACCAGGATATGACCTTAGAAGATCCTCTATATAGAAGAAAAATCTGATGATACCCATAACTCACATTCACATTTTCACTCATGTTCGGTCCAATTGGGCACTTCGCTCCTTCTTGAGATTTTTTTCTATCTGTTATTTTTACATGTTTTTCCGAGACAAATTCCTTGTATAACAATCATTGATCAATCCTTGAATAAGACAGAGGAAAGAAAATTGATACGGATATGTTGTTACGACTCTTCATTTTTTTTCTAAATCATCCTCGTCAAACATCTATATCTGACACTTCTGCGGCATAGGTATAATGGTATACCTGTGTCATACTGTTATCCGACACTTACCCTCAAGTTCAAGTAATATAGGAAGTAGCTTTAACATAGGACATATCAGGTGAAAGTTTGTACCCATAATCATGCACATAATGATGTATTTAGTATTACTAGAGTTCTATTGAGTTATTTCTGCCGAAGTTGCAACATGGTAAACACCCGTTTTGCATCTGAATAGGCTAACATTTGTCTATTGCCTCCACAGTGAAGGGAACCGATTCTAATATTTTTATCCTACGATGCAGAGAGACACTACTGGATTGACTACTGAGAATAAGGAACTCAAATTACGGCTAGAGGCCATGGAGCAACAAGCTCAGCTTAGAGACGGTATGGCATACTGTTTCCTAATTTTTGCATCACATACTGCAATTATACTTGCTGGTGGTGGATTACTGAGTTTGACTACATTGTTTTGGTCAGTTTATAATGAAATTGGTTAAATCATCAAAACGCTACCGTTTCATAGTTAAGTGATGCATAATTTGGGATTCATGCATTCATCGGTGAAGGACTTTTTTTTTTTTTGAGGAAAACATCGGTAAGGGACTTAATTGGGAAATAATGTCATATTTTTGCTTCCGAAGTCCATACGATTTTCATATGCAGTTCACCAAATTTAGGTGCATGCTAAAATTAGCGTTTATATTTTTCGGTTTGAAGCTTTAAATGAAGCGCTGAGGGAAGAAGTGCAACGGCTTAAGATACAAGCCGGTCAAATGTCAGCTCTTAATGGGAACCCTTTCAATGGCGGACTGCCCCAATTTTTCCCTCACCAACCATCTCTGCAACACTTCAGCGGCCACCAAACCCCACAGCAGCAGATGCCTCAGTCATCCACCAACGACGGGCAGCCACAGCCTTGGTTCATGGATTTTAACCGGGGAGCATAGTTTGATGTTGGAAGAGAATGCTCAGAAAACATAAGAAGATGCATATCTTGTACAAAGTATACATGTAAATGTATCATAGGTTAGGGTTGTGAAAGAGTGCTACTAGGATCGGTCTGTATCATAGGTTTCATGACTTTATTACCACCAATAATAAGGGTAAGAGAAATGAGGGCTGGTATGATCTTCACTTAATATACTATAGAGTTTCATACTCAGCAGTCTCTTTTTCTCATTACAACAAAAACATCGATGCTTGTGTAACTTAGATTCTGAATTGAATATTACAATAAAGGATATCTTCCGTTTTTAGCTCAACCTGGCTTAATTCTAGAATCATTGAGGCACATTGTGATTATTGGATGCTACTGGATGGCCCTACGAGAAAAAAAACAACATATGGTTTCTATAGATTCAAAGAATATGGAAGCATATACACTATTGACAATAGCAGCACTGAGTTAGGACCAAATGAAAGTTTAACAAAGAAAGATGTTTGGTTGAATATTAGTACTAGGGACATGCTAAGCTTGCTAATTTTGGACCATCGCTTTACTTATCCCAATACAAGCCACATGCACCCACTCGAAATAACATGTAAAATCATGTGCTTTAATCCCGACCCTTTATGTCCTTGCTCCTTACCCACTTTCTTTCCACCTACTTCAAAAGGAAATATTAACATCAAACTTGTGTTGACCAAACTCTTCACTTCTCTCCAAATACCACCAATATTTGATACCAGCTAGTACCCCAACACATTTGGCATAGATAAAACTCCATCGTAAAAGAGCTGAGATAAAATTCCAGGAGGACTTGAGTTGTTTTAACTCAAAAGATGAGAATCTATTAAGTAATTAAATCTAAAAAATTAGGAGGAACAGAGGTATTATTTGACTAATATTTAAATTGAAAATGACCTAAAAATTCCATTATACCAAAAAAAAAAATGGGAAGGGCTCTTAGAGTAGCTTCGTCCCTGGATGTGGCTTGTCTGACTGCATATCTATCCATATTCAACACTTGCATCCCAATGCTACTAAATCATATTAAAGTTCTACCAAACTAACAGTGACTAGTATCTAAAATAAAAGGTAACAATGGCTGCCCATCATATATAGACAACATTAATGATTTACCATACAACAAATGTTCACAAGATAAAGATTCTTGAAGAAATAGCAGAACCATTAATACTCTCCCGCCCACAACAATTATGCTAAAGGCAACCTCCAAACGCATCTTGAAGGTTAGTTTTTTCTAGAATAATTGTATTATTAGCTTCATACTATTAAGGCAGACACTTCTCTATTCACCATGCATTGTCTTGAGGAACAAGCCTTATGTTTGCTTTTATTTGTATGCTATGAATTCCTCCTAATGTGGTAAATGACCAAATTCAAAAACAAATGAGATAAAAGTAATTGTAACAATATGGCCAAATCATATGAACAAATATATTTTTTCCTCTTTCTTGCGTATGAACTTGCAAGTATACTTGAACTTGTACAAAAAAACTGATTTTTAATCGTGTTGGAACTGATATTTATGCTAATTTCCACTTCATACTTAAACTGTAATTTATATTTTGGATTCATTTGAATCTTTATTCTCATATAAATCAACACGGAACCTGGAAATAGAGAAGAAACAGAGGACAAGAGAAGGATAAAAAAGAGGATAAGAAGATGGAATACAGAGAGGAGAGTAAGAGTAGAGAGTTGTTAGAAACTTCAAAATTTTTCCTTCTACCATTACTTTGACTAAGGTCAACTATTTTAATTCTTACTTCCCACAGCCACCCATCCCTATTCCTGAAACCAATAGAAGAGCAATCTCTCAGCCAAAAAGAATATATCTAAAGCACCATTCGAACTAATTCAGATCTCTACAGCAGGAGCCCTTATAATACATCCTTGAAAAAACTACAACATCAAAAGGAACTATGACTTCATACTTTTGATTCCAAAACAACCATAAATCACAAAACGTTCCAATATACACTTAGCTATGTTCTTCTTAGCAATTGCACTATCTAACTAACGCACAGATTAGTAAATGGCGATGAAAGCCATTAGTGTTGGCAATGGCTCATACAGTGATCTTGTAAGACTCGCTTCTTCCATTAGTTTCAGATAAAAAACACTCAAGGTCTTAATCAAGCATTGAAAATAGTAATAGAAGAAATGTAAAATTCTAGGGATTTTGTTTTGATCATAATTGACAAGTTGCATTGTCTAAGAACAAATTGAACATAATTCCCACTTTTGGCTCTTGAATCTCTTAGGTCTGGAAAACAGGTTACAGTGTTTTTGCAGTACCCTGAATCATTCATTTCAGGAGAAGAACATAAACAAAAAAACAACAATGATTCAAAGTAGCAAACACTGGAAGAACATACCGTGCATATTTGAGGAACCACAGTAACCGAGCTCAAACAGTAATTCCCCAGAAAAGCTTGCCACCGTTTCCAGGCATGAGGCACCCTCTCTCAATCCATTGCCATTCACAGTGATTCAAACGAAATACAGAAACGAATCAAAGAGGTAAACAATGTAAGAACATGCTGAGCATCAATTTAAGGAACTGTAGTAAGCCGAGCTTCATAAGTAAATCCCCGGAAAAGCTCATCACCATTTCCGGGCACCCCATCAATCCACCGCCAGTTGCAGCAATCCCAAAGAGCCAGCTTCCCAACTTTCTTCCCGGAAAAGCAAACCCTATCCCCTCCTCCAAACACCTTAAATTTACTATCATAAAACCACCGGTGCATTGCCTCCGGCATCCTTGTTGCCTCTTCCCACTCCATTGTTTCCAGATCCAATCTCAATATCAAAATCGTTAAACAAGATTGGTTAAAGGAATAACTCGATTTTAAACCTCCAATCATCAAGATCTTGTTCCCGTTTCCAGGTACTAAACACGGTCTTTTCATTATATCAAAAATATCCCCCCATTCATGCCTTTCTAAACATTCCCAGTTATTGTTCATCACATTTAAATTTAAATTTAACAAGTTTTTGACAGCGCAAGAGAATAATTTCCACTTACTTCTCCACGGCGATCCCACGTCGCATAGGGCGAAAACGGAGTTGGAAATCACGATGGGGCTTCTAGGTTTCGAAGGCAAATTCGAAGAGAATTTGAGCCATTGCTGGGTTTTCTGAGAAAAAGAGAAGTAAAGAGCAGCGAGTTCCGTTAAGACCATGACTCGGTTCCTTGAGTCAACTAGCACCGAGCCATGGCGTGACCAAGCCGAGCCGAGCTGAGGGAGGACTCTGTATTGACGAGTCAAGGGGTTACACACGATGAGCGACTTGTTGGAGTCTGGTGAATCAGCCCAGAGGTAAACCAGACCGAGCGAAGACGCGACGGGGTGATGAGATCGGAAGGGAAGAAAATCGAGGCTGAATCGAAGCCATTGGTTCTGATCGGGATCGTAGACGTGGATGCAGGAATGGAGTGACGTGTGGCGGATGTGATGATTATGGTGGTGGTGTGGGGGACGGAGACCGAGGAGGTTGAGATGGGATCGGCTGGAGATGAGATGCACGAAAGACGGTGAGGTTAGGGTTTGGTTAAAGAGCTTGCAAACGGAGCGGCATATCATGATTTCGCGAAGCGAGAGGGAAGAGAAGATCTGATGGAGAGTGTCTTCGGGGAGACGGCTGATCGGCGACTCCTCCATTTTCGTGGACGCAGAACAGAGAAGGGGAATATGATGCAAAGCAGGGAATCACGGGATCTAAAAAAAAAACGGGAGGAGACTAGGGGTTTGGGGTTGCGTAAACAGGCCGTGTTTTATTTTATTTTCCGAAAGGTAGCAAATGAGTCTACGCCCTTGTCAGTTAGTCTCCGGTAGACCCGACTAATATATCATGTGGTTTAATTAATAATATTTTTTATCTGGTAAATTTTTTTATGTATTTTTTATGTATAAATAAAGAATAAATAATTATTTAAAATTATTTTAAAATTAATGAATGTAATTTACTGAAATTATGAGTGACATGATGAACTAGACCGTAAATTAATTTTTCGGATACTCGGTTCAATGAAACGGCTTTGATAGGATCAAGCCACCTATATGCTATAAAAGAATACGGAGTTATTGGACCACACACATACCATGTCTAAATTATCATAACCTCCGAATCTTTAAAACAAAACATTATATATTTAAATTCATTTATTATAATAATATTAACTAAATTAAAACTCAACATGCATTAAATTATATACATTACATCAATAAATGTAGGGCCATACACTTTAATAAATCAATTATAAGGGAGAATACTAACAAAAGTGAGCGAAAGGGCCAATTGTTTCCTACCAGTAATTATTATTGGGAGGTCAATGCTGTGAAGTAATTGATATGGAAAAAAAAATTAAAAAAAATGATATGGAAAAAGATCCTCCATCCTTTCCTAATCTCTACAAATCCAAGTAGCATATTTTTAGGGTTGTAATCAATAACGAAGTAACAACTTTATTTTAAGAGTTACAAATTAAGAAATTATATTTAGAATTTAATGAGATAAGATTTAAAAATATAATTAAAAAGTATGCAATTAAATTATCAATAAATAATATAAAAAATACTTTAAACTATTTTGAGAAGTTAAAATTTATAAAGGATGTCACCACATAATATCTATTATTTTTTACCTAAATATCGCCCATTTGAAAATCATTTCATATTAGGATTTTTATTTTCTATTTGTTTTCAAATTTGAGTCAACGCTCTTAAAAAATAGGGGCTAAATATATGGAAGAGAAATTATGTATACTTTGTTAAAAAAATAATAAACGCACTCCATGTTTGTCAAAAACACATAGTTACATAAGTACAGTATAAATATGAGTCAAATAACAATAACAATACACATATATTAATCTTATGTTCAAATAACTTAATAAATGTACGTTTAAAAAGTTATATTTAAACAATTGTATACTCGTATATCTAACTAAAGTGAGATTTGAAAACTACATTAATTTCTCAAATCCCATATTATTTAAATATATATATGTTTTCAAAAGTTTAAATATAACTTTTTAAACATGAATTTATTTAGTGGTCGAACATAATGCTTAATACATATGTGTTATTATTGTCTAGTTTGTACTTATGCAATTATTTTATTCTTTTTGAACAAAATTCATATAATTTTTTTTTATATTTATAGTCTATGTTATTTGTTCTTTCATTTTAGTCTAACATGTATCTGTGTTACCGCTATATAGATAGAAGATACTTCCTACAAGACCCGCTTGCAAAATCTTTTGCGGTAAATAAGATGCTAATTAAAATATATGTTAGTTTTATATTAATTTTTATTTTGATGATATTTTAATAAAAAAAATTAAATTCATTTACGAGTAATTAAGAATTAATGGAAGATGAAAACACCGTCGATGAATAATTTGCTAAACATGAATATATTAATAAATCTTATACACATGATTAGACAGACATTAATGATTCTTTTTGACTAATTTTGTCTTGAAATAACCAATCCAAAAAGCCAGCTACTATTACCAGAAAAATATATAAATAATAAACAAAATATTTTTTTTTTTCGCTCTCTAAGCACTAATAAGTGTCGTTGCCTCTCTCATTTCCATTTTTCACAGCGTTGGATCATACAACAAAGAGAAAAACATGTTCAGTCAAGGGCTATATAAATCTCGGAGTATAAGCAAATGATTATTGTTGCTATTATTTCAGTTTCAGGTGATCTCTGAAGATGAGAGGCCCTTCACTGAGCCCCAAAGAGCCCCGCCACCGCGTTGCCGCTTCCCCCGCGTCGGTTACTCTCTTGTCTCATTTCTTCATCAAAGCTTTTAATTATTGCTATCATCTAAAAAAGCTTGATTTCTTTTAGTAAGTCTTTACTTCGATGTGCCGTTTGTTGAGCTCTTAAGAGCTGCTGTTTGTTTGGCGAAGAAAACTGCAGTAAGATCTGTTAAATTGAGCTGCCGTTTGTATTTTTTGTTTATTTTTTCTTTTGACTTGCACAATTGCCTCCGATTACTGTTATAATTTAAAATACTTGGAATCTTATAGTAAATTATTGCTTTGATTTGCTTGTTTACTGAGCTTTTCAGCACTTGTGTTTGTTTGACTAGAAAAAACTGCAGTAAGATCTGTTTCAATTTGGTTGTGATTTGTATTTTTTTAGTTGAAGCGTTCCTTTGATTTGCAGCATAAATATTGTAGTTGTAGTTGCGTAAGTTTCCTAGTACGGTAGGTATTTATGAACTTTATTTTAGCATTTTAGCTGTTGGAAATAAGATCAAATATGAAGTAGATAGAGCTAGGTTTGGGCCGTACTCTTTGACTTTTAACCAGTTAAGCTTTAAACTCTTTACATTAATTCTTCTTATTTTAATAATTTTTTCTTGTTTATGTGAATTGTTTTTGGTAGTCTTTGCTGGAGAATGAAATTTTCGGCGAAATAAATGTTTTAATAAAAATAAATCTATTATGATCTTTTGACTTCTCATCTGAAGAAAGCCTAGGTCCTTATGACTGTTCATCATCTAACTGCTTTTTGAATTAACTAAGATGCAATAAGATTTGGATTTTTTTGTTTCGCATAGTGGATTCTAGAAATTCTAGTGCTATGGGACGTAAAGCTCTTTGGAATTAGAATTTGAAACGCATTCTCAATTTGTAATAATTTGTGAGATTGTAGAAGCCAGAGAAAGCTCATGATTAGTATGCTTGTATTAAGCAATACTAGCTTTCCTGAGCTATGAAAATGTTTGGAGTTTGCTTTCACATATTTATAGTTACAATTGGCTTACTGATACTTTGACTTTATATCCTGACATTAGATTTGGCTTATATTATTACACATTAGTGACTTTTTCTGAACTCTGGCGAGTTTCAAATACGGATATAAACTCAAAATAAAAATGTTGAATTATCTTAAAACTTTTCCATTTATTTAGAGGATCATATCCTGTACCTCGTTATTCTATAACCTGTATTCAGTTATGAAAATTTCTAATAACACCGCAATAAGACTTTTGGCTTTTTGGTTTTCTAAAACATCACCTCTCTTTTATTTCTTTATGGGAATGGACTGATGTGATTCATACCGCCTTCTCACAGTGAAGAAACAAACAGAAGAGGGTTCCAAAGAAAAAAAGTTTTTAGAGATGTTGAGAAGGCTCTCCATGTTCCTATTCGGTACAGGAACTGGAATTGTAAGATATCTACTTTGAAAGTCGTTCTGGTCATACTTTTCGTTGGATCTCTCATCACTCTCCTTCGCTCTCCTGCAGTTTACATTTCAGATCTTCCATCCAATCTTGCATCTCGGTATATTTCTACCATCAAAGTATCTTTCTGTTAATTGTTATATCTAGCCTATAGTTTGCTCTCATGTACTTTAATTATTTTCTGCTTGAAAACAAACCCTGTGTATTATTTAGTATGTGTATATTTATGAGAGTATGCATTTGAGTATGTCACTGTATCTAACTAGCTATCCAACTAGCATGGGTAACAACCCCAATATCTTGGATTTTAGATTGACCACCTTAAATTTCCAGTACCGGAAGGCCAGAGAAGTGAGTTCAATAGCATATATGTTGGAGATTACTCTTATTCTTCTCCCAGATATTTCAAGTAGGATTTGTCACATGCAGGCATGGTTTTATAGACAAATCAATAGGAGATGGTGCTGCCGCAGATCCACGTTATATATCAACATTGGATGTCAACAGGGATCAAATCTCAAATGTCATTGAGAAACTGACTGACAGGGATGAATATCAGGGAATTGGATTATTGAACTTCAATAATACTAAAACTGATCAATGGAAGCAGCTGTTACCAAATGCCGAGCATGTTGTTCTGCAATTGGACCATGTGACAGGCAATGTAACTTGGGAATCCCTCTATCCTGAATGGATAGATGAAGAAGAAGAATTTGAGGTTCCTAAATGTCCTTCTCTACCTAGTCTTCAGTTTCCTGGAAAACCACAGATTGATCTTATTGCTGTCAAGCTTCCTTGCAACAAGGCAGGAAAGTGGTCAAGGGACGTCTCACATCTACACTTTCAGCTAGCAGCTGCGAGGCTTGCTGCATCTGCTAAGGGGTTACACCCAGTGCATGTGCTTTTGTTGACTGACCGCTTCCCGCTTCCAAATCTTTTTACCTGCAAGGACCTTTTTGCACATGAAGGGAATACTTGGCTGTATACACCCAACCTACATAGGTTAAGAGAAAAGGCTCGACTGCCAGTTGGATCATGTGAACTTTCGGTTCCTCTTCAGGCTAAAGGTTTGTTTCAAACTAGTTGCTTCAATATATTTGTTCATACATATTCTTCTACTCTTCATTACAACTGGAGCTAGCTGGTGGTAAATTTTATATCACTATCAACTTTTAGACATTTAGAATCTTTTCACTAAGATAAGAAGCACTGCTAATTTAACTTGAATTTATAGCTGTGACAAGATTGAAGTCTTTTAAATTTCACTCTATGTTTTACTTTCTGATCTGGATATTTTCCATCTCAGAATGATGAATTAAAGTCCAAAGCATTTTAATGGATTACTAAGGCTTAAGCTATCTGAAATTTCTTGTTTTACCAAGTCTGAAAGGCTTTAAATTAAAACTAACTGAATATATTTTGACAGAGTCTTTCCATTAGGAGAGAGCACACCGCGAAGCATATGCAACAATCCTGCACTCTGCTCATGTATATGTTTGTGGGGCCATTACAGCTGCTCAAATTATCCGCATGTCAGGTTCAACTAGGGACCTTGTGAT